TTGGGAATGTAGCTCAGTGGTACAGCATGACTGAGTTCAATCTCCAGTACTGAGAAAAACAGAATAAAATAAAATGGCTTCTGAATGGATTCAACTGTAAAACTTAGAAAAATTCAAACTGAGGTACAATTATAGCATTCCTTTTGGGATTAGTGGCTCAACAGCACAGCATATGGGTAAAAGGTGTGGGTTGGATCCCCAGCCCCCACCAAAAAAAAAAAAAAAAAAGCATTCCTTTTGATAATGATAGAATAAGCATATATGAATACAGCATATATATATCTCTCTTCTGAGAAAAGGGAGACTCTGAGTAAAAACAGAGTAAAAAGTCGAATATTAGTGACAATCTAACTCAATCCTGGCTCCAATACGCCACAGATAACATTCTAGAATTCTCTAGTCAAGACACTGTTTAACTTTCATCTTCTCTCTGCTGCCACCACTATAAGCAGATAAACTTCCAACTGTTATATCACAGCTTTCTGTGTGTCACATGACAAAAGATGTGATTTTACTGACACCTGTAACACCTCATCTTAAGGCCTTAATTGGGGAAATTGAATCATTCAGAGCAGTTTTATCGGGGATATTCGTATCTGGAGATATTTTTGACTGTAACAAGTGGGAGAGAAAGCAATGCTACTGGCATCCAGGGGTGAAGCTAGCAATGCAGATAAATATCCTGTAAAGCACAGGACTACCCCCCACAAGTTAAATGACCCCCAAATATCAAATATCTGTGCCAGGGTTGAGAAGCCCTAATTTAGCAGAATGTTCAAAAGCATACTGTACTCAGCCAGGCATGGCAGTGCATTCCTGTAATCCCCGCACACAGGAGCCTGAGGTAGGAGGGTCACCATGAGTTCAGGGCCAACCCCAGCTACACAGTGAACTCAAGGCCAGCCTGAATGATACAGTGAGAACCTGGCTCAACAAAAACTTACACACACAAAAAAGTATACCATACTAGAAATGGGATTCCAAAAATCCCCTTAACTTTCCTGTACATTCAGCTATCAAAAATACGTCAGTGGTTTCATTCCTGGATCTGGAATTTGTCCTTAAGTCACTTTACAAAGCATGTGTATAAATTTAACACAGCTTCTTTCACAAGATAAATGATTCACAAGTGCCACACTGGGCTTGACTCTAGTCATTTTACAATCAATCCAGTATTGTCTCTTGATAAACAGACCATTGCATCCTACTGAGAAGCTCAGCAAAGGATGAGTACGAACACAATGAAGCTCTCCATAGCTTTGGGGAGAAGCAAGGCATTTTAAAGGCAGACACAAGCCAATAAAACAGGGGTCCCATCTTAGCAGCAGTCTTGTTTCCTGTGGTTTTAGTTTGTGTGTAGCGGGGTAGAGTAGGGATTTAATCAAGGGAGTGCTGATCTATGTCCCCACCTCCTTTTAAAAGTTTATTCATTTATTTATTTTCCGGTACCAGGGATCAAATTTAGGGCCTTGTGCTTGCAAGGCAGGTGCGCCACCACGGAGCTACATCCCTGGCACTATAATTTTATTTTGAGACTGGGTCTCAAGTTGCCCAGGCTGTCCTAGAACTTATGATTCTCCCGCCTCAGCCTTATTCTTCAGTTTTTTAAAAAATGGTCTTGCTATGAGCCCAGGTTGGCCTAGAACTCAAAGCAATCCTCCTGCCTCAGCCTCTTAAATAGCTGAGATTACAGGCATGTGCCATTATATGTGGCTTGTTTAAAAGCATTGTAATCATTGTTGTATTTAGTTTTAATTAAACCAAGCATGAGTAATATCGACAGCATTATCAGTGAATCTGATGTGAACTCCATATCAATACATGGAACATGATCTCTGAAAGTATTACTGAGAAGCAGATTCATAGGATACAAAGGATGAAGATAAGGACCCAGCCTTGCAGCAAAGTCACAAATGTGCATGGCTCTCTTCTACAGATGCAACTCAGGAAGACACTAGGCACATCAAGGCGATAAATTAAAAAGGTGTAGTGGTGTAAACTTGTAGTCCTTGTTATGTGAGAGGCTGAGGCAGGAGGATCACTTAAGCCAGGAAGGAATTCAGGGTTAGCTTGGGCAACACAGGGAGAGCTTGTTTCAAAAACAAAAAAAGGCTCTCCTGACCAGAAACTTAAGAACCTTCTGTCTGTCTCTTTCCAACCTCTACACATCAAAATGTCAGTAGAGTACATCTAAATCAATTCTCTTATTTTATTATTATTATTATTATTGGGTTTTTTTGGTGTTTTGAGACAGGGTCTCTATGTAGTTGAGACTGACCTGAAACTCACTATGTAGCCCAGGCTGGTCTTGAACTCACAGAGATCCTCCTGCCTCAGCCTCCCGAGTGCTGGGATTACAGGGGTGTGCCACCATGCCCGGCAATTCTCTTATTTTAGACATAAGAAGTCTGATAGAAACTCAGCAGTTAAGACTTGCTAATGTCAAGGCTAAAACCAATGTCTCTAGAATCCTGGTTGAGTCATTCTGCTTTACCACCTTACCTCTGCTAAAAACTGATGCAGAAAAACAGCCATGGAATTTTCTGGACACAAATCTCTGATGGAACTAAAAATGGTAGCGCAGCTCCTCTCAGTCTTTGCTTTTTTGTTTGTTTTTTGTTTTTTTGAGACAGGGTCTCACTGTGTAGTTGAGACTGACCTGGAACTCACCTTGTAGCCTAGGCTGGTCTCGAACTCACAGTGATCCTCCTGCCTCAGCCTCCCAAGTGCTGGGATTATAGGCGTGCACCACCACACCCGGCTTCCTCTCAGTCTTATTAGGCGAAGGATGTCAATTTCTCCAACTTTTTTGGGAATAACAGACAGTTCTGTTGTTGTATAGCTCCTTTTTTATTTTTTTCTTTCCTTTGTAGAAGGACTTACGTGAAAATTTAAAGAACACCTAGCATGCTCAAGGCCAAGGGTTAAATCCCCAGTGTTACAAAATAATAACAACCACCACCACCATAATAACAATAATAAAAAAGAGATTTCAATTAAAACCAGACAAAGTATCTACAAACAACTCAACAGAGCCTATTTGAAGAATGACATAATGGATCTGGCAGGTTATTTTTTAATCATCTTAATTATGAAGCAAAGTTTTAAAAAATATAAGTAGGTCCAGTAAGTATTATCACATTTAAAATTCTCTTAATATTCCTAAATATCCAGAATTGTTTCCATGAAAATTTTCACTGGTTGGGACTAAACCCTAGGCATCTTCATATGCCTGTTGTATAGGTGAGAAAACAAAGGCTTAAAGAAGCTAAGTAGGGGCTGTGGATGTAACTCAGTGGTCTAGCATACGTAAGGCTCTGGGTTCAATTCCGAGCACCTCCCCCCAAAAAGGCTACTTAACTAGTGAAGGGAAAATGACAGTTAAGCTTGATCTCACATCTAGCTCCTGAGTTTTCACTATTTTACTACACTACCTCCAGTGACACTGTCTGCCATGTATCCATGGGGAAACTCACTGATTACATTACTGCACTTGAGAGAGGGCTAGCATGGCCCCTGATATCCATTAAGTGAATAACCTGCCTAAAATCACAGACCCAGTTAGTTCTGCCAAAGGAACCAAGCCCAGGTGCCCTATCTCTCGGAATAGCTCTCCTCCTCACCCTGCAAAGACAGAATGGAAGACAAGCCTTCAAGGTGCACAGAAGTCCATTCTTTATCCACGTAAGATTAAGGAACATTAACACGGATATATATCTAAGAAGTACAAACTGAGTAACTGGATACTGACAACATTGCTTGGGGAATCTGCTAACAGTTAACACATAAATAGGGTTTCTAACATGAAAGAAAAGCTATAAATGATGTTCTGATGAAAAAGTTCACACCAAATACACATAGTACAAAAGGTAAAATTCAAGCCAGGCGTGGTGCTGTGTGCCTGTAATCCCAGCACGCTGGAGGATACATGTGAGTACAAGACCAGCCTGGGCTAAACAGTATGTTCAAGGCCAGCCAAAAATACATAGCAAGATGCTGTCTCAAAAAAAAAAAAAGCAAGTGGGGTGGGATCTTGACCTAGGCACAGTTCCCAACTGCCTACTGGTGAAGTCGAGATTCATATGGTTTCTATCTCTATCACCTATTTCTGGCCTTGACTTTGTTGTACCTAAGTATCAATTTTACTTACTGTATCCAAGTACTGTCTTATATCTGGAATGCTTTTCTGAACTATTTTTATAATTTTTAAAGTTTATGCAATCTTTTTTTTTTTTTTTGGAACCTGGGATTGAACCCCAACCTATTTTATGTAATCTTAATTCTGGCCTCTCAATACGCTTCCCATTATGTAATTAATTCTGACCTCTCAATACGCTTCCCTGAACATGCATTTATAAAACTTATGAAAATGGCCCATGGTTTAGCTCCGTGGCGCCGCACTTGCCTCACAAGCGCAAGGTCCTGAGTTCAATCCCTGATTCAAAAATAAAGCTTATAAAATAATTTAGCAAAGGTTAAGAATTACAAGAGAAGCCATGTCAGTAAAGTTATAAAATTTGTGGCAAACTATAAATTAATAAATTGTAAATTCTAATGCAAGTCAATTCTCATTTTCTATATAAGGCAAGAGGAAAGTTCATTGAAGATTTCCAAACAAAATACAGACAAGATTGTACAAGTAGCCAGGTGTGGTGGCGCATGCCTATAAATTGCAGCACTCAAAGGCTGAGGCAAGAGGATCGCCACGAGTTGGAGGCCAGCCTGGGCTACACAGTGAGTTCAAGTTCAGCTTGAATTATAGAGAGAGACCCTGTCTCAAAAAAAAGTGCAAGTATTCTATTTTTTTAAAAATTTACTTGGCCAAACCATCCTTATGATCAGTATCACAAAATGCATTTAACCAGGGCTTATTATATGTGATCTTTTAATTGTTTCAATTCAGAAAGTATTTAAAAATAAAATTCAAAAAACTTATTACAAATAATCCAGTAAACCCAATAAAAGGCCTTGGGAATAGAGGAGATATAAAAGACAGGTACCTCATAGTTTGAGAGAAAATCTAGTAATTCTGATTGAGATGGGATGTAGAGAAGTGGTTTCATCACCCGGCGGACAAACTTCTCAATGTAAACAGCACTCATGGGGCCTTTGTACTCGATTGGTCCAAAACTAGTGCCAAAAAATGAAAAAGTAAAAACAATACATCATGTATTAAACCTATAATATGTAGCTAAAACAATCAACTTTATTTAATGTTTAAGACAAGAAGCTTGCTTTGCTTAGGGGGTGACTAGAAGGCCAATTAAGAACTGGCATTAGGTAAGGAGAGGTACAAGTGGCTGTTACTCTTCTATGAGCTTAATTCGACTGGAAACTAAATTCATTCTAGTCTCTGAAGGAAAAATTAATTCCCACACTATTTCTTTAAAAATAAAAACAAAAAAGCCAGCCCTGGAAACTGACTACATGCTAAAGGATTCCAGGATCTTTTCACAATTCAACATAGGTAAGCAAAGTCCTTTTATATAATATATCAAAATAAGAAACAATTTGAGAAGTTGGTCATTGGCCTACTAAAAGTAGTTACTATATATGCCCATAGGTTCTCACACAAGAGATCACTAAGTGAACTTTAATCCTATTTAAATTTTTGGGGGGTAATGGGGATAGAACTCCGGTTCTTGTACTTCCAAGGCCGGCAGCGGAACCACTGAGCCAAATCCCTGGCAATCCTATTTAAAATTTTACTGCAACAGAAAAAACTAGGTGCAAATGTGAAGTTGGGAAGCTGTGTAGACAATCTTCCTTTCCTTCCTTACTGCTATACTTGGAGACACAGGAATCTGATCCAGTTCTGCTAAATAATGTCATCACCACTCAGTTTCCTCCTCAACTAATCTGAATTCTCACCTCTCTGAATGTCACACAATTGGGACAAATACAACTGGATGACTGGTGGCACGGCCAGGGAGGTCTATAAAATTGGCAAAATTCACCAACTCCTTAACCATCCATCTCTCTTAATAAAACTGATATTATGCTTATTGTTAAAAGTAACACAGTAGCACAATATTATAACATAATTACAAAAATTCACATACACAGATATGATGAAATAAACAATTCTTCAGTGTACGCTGCTGAATACAATGCCAAAAGGACATTGGCATGAAAAAGTGAAAACAGTATTCCACTTGCACAGCAGGGAGACAGAGCTAAGAATTTTATCAATTCAAGATTGACCACAAATTAGTTGTTTAAAAATTACTAGCCAGGCATGGTAGCACGCGCCTGTAATCCTAGCACTTGGGAGACCGAGGCAGGAGGATCACTCTGAGTTCGAGACCAGCCTGGGCTACATAGTGAGTTCCAGGTTAGTCTCGACTATATAGTGAGACCCTGTCTCAAAAAACCAAAAACCAAATAAAATCAATCAATCAATCAATCACTACCATTCCCATCAGTCTTGTCAATCAACAACTTTTAACTTAAAAGAAAAAATCAAAAAGCATCTAATAACTTATTCTGTTTAGCAGAAAGGAGCCAACCAGCCCAGAAATCTCACTTACTCAAGCCAGAAGGCCTGCTGAATTTCCCTGGTGGGTCCTCAAGCCTCGTAAAGTCTAACAAGATCCCACAACGCAGGATTTCGAATCTTTTACCTATAACTTACAACCACTGACACAGGCATGATGATCTGATGTAGCCAGCTCTGACCTGGGAATCTGAGAAGCACCTCTCTGTGTCAGAACTTGAATCAGCTTCCTTTGGACTAGTCAATCCAAACCAAAGAACCCTACTTTCCCAAAACAGGAAGCCTATTAGCTTCCTTAAGCAGCTACTGTAAGAAAAGCCAGAAACACACAACAGTAGCGCTCTGCTCAGTAATGAGACCCAGTGAACACATCCATGAGCATTAATAACCAGAAGAACCTCATGACCGCTCAGAATGCTCCCAAGAGCCTGTAGGTGACAGGAAACATTCAAGTGTGTACGTATATAAAAGGTCTGGAGGCTTCTGAAATAAAACATGAAAAAGCTACCTTCTGGGAACCCCTGTGCCTTGACATTGTTTTAGCCACACCAAGAATATGCGAAAAGTGCTGAAATGAGTAGGAAGGAGTCTGAACTGACATAAATAAGTAAAACTTCAACAAGCAAAGGGGAAGGGTGGCTACTTCAAGTTTCGTGCCAACCTCAAAGTCCTCATCTGTAAAATAAAAGGTGTGGACTAGATATTTCTAAAGTTCCTTTTATGTCCTTTTACTCTTTCTACAAAAGCTGGGGAGAGGAGAATAATGTGAGACAATACTGCATCTCAAAATGACATCTGTATTCAATTCAAGGGAATTCTACTGGTTTTAATGTCATATCAAGTTAAGTCCGCCTCTGGGCAAGGACTATAACTCCTACTAGGCATCTGTGCTCTTTTCCAAAGCCAAAGAGTAGTTCAGGGACCTCAATAGGGAAAGTTCATCGTCCCTTACAGAGAAGACGCTTGAACCTTCAAGGATAACACCTTATGCCTACCTTCAAAAAGAAAAATGTAATCCTGAGACAGTTACTGTTGTCAAATTTTTTATCTTGAAATAAGGTCTTGCTAACTTGCCCAACCTGGCTCCAAATTAAAAATCCCACTGCCTCAGCCCGCCAAGCAGGTGGGAATATGGGTATGTACCACCGTAGCCAAGTCAAAAGTAGTCTTGATAATCCAAAAGCAAAACCTGATCTGTTACAGCAAATATTAGAATTGCAAACATTTGAGAGTCAAAGGAAAATATGTAGATAAAATTGAGTAGTATGGTTTTGGTCAAATACTATCAAGTTCCTGGGAAAAATACTATTATGTCACAAAAGTTTTTATATTGGAGATAAGGAAATGGGACAGAATGGAACAGAAAATTCATAAGTGATAGCATACTGAGGCTTGCTATAAAATTCTGATTGAGGCCCAGGAAGTTCAGAGGCAGCGAAAACAATCTTTACTAAAAAGTAAAGATCTTTTCAGATGTGGTGGCACCTGCTTAGAATCCCAGCACCTGGGAGGCTGAGGCAGGAGGATCAATGCGAGTTCAAGGCCAGCCTGAACTACACTGCAAGACTGTGCCTCACAAGCAAAAACAACTTTATTAATCTAACCTCTTTCATCCATTTAGTCTTGTACACCTTCAAGCCAGTGACACTGAATGAAACCCAGACCCCATCTGCTTCTAAAACCCTTCAAGCCAGATTTATAGCCACGCCCACAGCACGGTCCACAGTCTAAACAGCTGTCATATATCAAAAGTCAGAGCTTCCACAGCAAAGGAGGTACCTTCTGTGGGATGAATGCCAAAGCCTCTTAGCCAAGTCAGATGAATTCATCTGGAGACAAAGTTTATGAAACTTTGGTTTTTCAGTCCTCTTTGTAATTTCAGAATCGTGAACCAGTAGTGATTTTCTTCCCAATTGAAAAGATAAGGGCCAGGATTTAGCTCAGTGGCACCAAGCCTGCCTCACAAGTGCAAGGTAGAAAAAGAAAGAAAGAAAAGGTAAGATACCTTTCTTGACCTTGCAATGTTCGCAGGTTGCAGAATGAAGAATTTTGAGTATTTTTGTTTTGTAAAACACTTTTAAATATCTGAAATGTATTCAATGTATTCATTCAATGGAGTAATTCTTACTTTTAAAAACAATGTTGCAATTCCTTATGAGTGTTATTTTGTAGGCCTAAAATGTACCAGTAAATGTTTTGCTATTAAAAAAACATTGTTGCAGTATATACAATGATAAAAAATATTCACAAAAGTGCGAAATAGCAGTTTAGCATTCCTGCCTGATCCTACCCTTTGCTTATAAAAAGGACACAGGCATGTACATCCATAGGAGGAAATAAACCAAAACACAGGAATTATTTACAGTTGTAAAATTCATCAAGGTTTTTAAAACAATGTTTTGCTTATCTATATTTTTTTCAATTTTCAACAGTGAATATCTAATCTAAATAGTAAAAATTTATTTATATGTTGAACTTAATCGAAATCAGAAACATTACTGAGAAGTCCTTACCTCCGATGATACAGATGTATTACAGGAAAATAAAAGAAGTGTTTCTGTTTTCTGCATTTCCCCTGGTTCCACCAACAGTTAATTGCCACAAACAACACCTGCAGAAGCAAAAATGGTTTTCGAATGACTATGAATAGCAACTGTTACTGAGATTTGAAAGATGAAATTATAAAAGTGGAACTAGTCCTCTCTCACTGAAAATGAAGGTATAAAAAACCATTTCAAGTTTTCAAAGGTCTTTATTATTTTTAAAAGCTCAGAAAATAAAATAAAATGAATGAAAGACAGATTCTTTTCAATATTTAACTAGGACTTAACGAGCTGGCCCAAGAAGAAAATTACTTGGTATTTTAAAGTGAAGCCAGAAATGGTGCTACACACCTGTAACCCTAGCACTCTAGGAGACTGAGGCAAGAGGGTGACAACTCTGAACCCAGCCTTGGTAACTTAATGTCTCAAAGTTTAAAATGAAAAAAGGGGTGGGGATGCAGCCACTGCAAAGGACCTGGGCTCAATCCCCAGGACCAGCAAAAAAAAGAAAGGAATTTTAAAGTGAATGAACGCCAAGGTGTTTTTTCTAAGTATGAACACGTGAACACTTGGAAGGGTTACGGATCTGGGGCTGCGCATACAGGTTTGCCTACCAAGAGCAAGGAGGACCTAGCTTCAGTCCCCAGCACCACATGCACACATAAAATCCTAACAGCAGAAAGGTATATCTGTCAACTGTCAAACTAAGCATACGAAAATGTTACTGCAAATAAAATATCACACTCCGTGTAGCTGTACATCCCTATAATCCCTCCCAGCTACTTGGGAAGCTGAGGCCGAAGAATCACAAGTTGGAGCCCAGCCTAGGTAACTTAGCAAAGACTCCTCTTCAAAATTAAAGAAAAAAAAAAAAAAAAAAAAAAAAAAAAAATTGCTGTGAGTTTGAGACCAGCCTGGGCTACACAGTGAGTTCCAGGTCAGTCTCAACTGCAGTGAGACCCTGCCTCAAAAACAAAAACAAAAACAAAAAAAAGTCTGGAGATACAGCTCAATGGCAGAATGCTTGCCTAGCATACACAAGGCACTGGGTTTGATCCCCAACACAAATGTAAAAGGACTATTTCTAACGACTATTTTATACACTAAAACAGATAATCAATGGTTTTCAGTCATCTAAAAGATAACACTGACCATTAAAAAATATGGAATGTACAGTCTGCCAAAAAAAAAAAAAAAACATACATCAGGAAAAGAAAAGTCTGTATAAATGTTTTAATACTAAATTTATTGAGACATCATGAGATTGATACAAGTTACCTTTGGCCTCTACAATTACAAAAGGTGATCAAGGTGATCAAAGTAGTGGCCATTAGCTTCCAGACATTAATTAGTATGATGAACTGCTGAAGTTTGCATACATTTTTTGGATTCGCTCTCTCTCTCTCTCTCTCTCTCTCTCTCTCTCTCTCTCTCTCTCTCTAAAATATATATATATATATATATATATATCCCCCAAGGTGGATGTTTAAGTATTTAGGCAAAAGTGTCCCTAAATCTGCAATTTACATTGACATGTACCAAGAATAAGACAGATTAATACATGTCTAGGGGCAGAGTTTCCCTACTTTGGCAATACTGTCATTGTAAGCTGAATGGGCAGAGAGGTTTTGGGTTGTTTTTTTTATAAGAGGATATACTAAGAACTAGATGTAGGATGGTGTAGAGTACTTAACAGCTTTCCCTGCACTGATACCACCAGAAATTAACAACGCTTTCCCTCCAGTAGTGACAACCAAAAATGTCTCCAGCCAGGAGTGATTACACATACCTGTAAGCCCAACATTCTGAGAGGCTGAGGCAGGAGGATGGCAAGCTCAAGTTCAGCCTAGCCAATTTAATAAGACCTCATTTCAAAATAAAAAATTAAAGGAAGTGGGGGCTGGGAACAGCTCAACGTAAAGACCCTGGGTTCAATCCTCAGTACCCCCCCATCCGACCCCCACCCTGGGGGCATGATGGCAGCAAAACTGCCACTAGTAGAGAACCTTAGGATTACTGGGTTGGTTAGATGAATAAACACATGACAAAATAAGCATAGTGAAATGTTAATAGAGACTAGATACAATAGCACAGACCTACAATCCTAGCTACTGGGAAAGCTGAGGCAGGAGGACTGAAAGTTCAAACATGGGCATCTTAGCAAGACTCTGTCTTAAAAATAAAAATTTAAAAAGGCAAAAGGTGGGGGTAAAGGAGATATGAAAGATGTGGCTCAGTGGCAGAGGGCTTGTTTAGCATGTGAGGGGCAGGGCCTGGGTCCAATTCCCAGCACTGAGCAGGGAAAAATTTAAGAGGATATACATAAAAAATTTTCCCCTTTTGCTATATAGTCAAAATTTCACATAATAAATTATTGAAAAAATATGAAGACAGACTACAACTGAAAAGCAGCCTTCAAATGCTTTTCATGTACTAGCACAATAAAAACATAAATCAAATCTTAGTAGCAACTTTTCAGAACTCCTTTTAAAAGAATCTACTAAGAAAAAAAGCAACACCCCTTCTCAGAGGTAGTATCTCAACTTTTTTAAATCAAATATTGGGCACAATCTACTATTTTGCTAAGCAATATGCTCTAGAAGGTTTTTGTTTTGTTTTTTACACTATTTCTAAAAATAAACTCACTCTTTTTCCATCCTGAGCAAATAAACATAACAAACATAACAATAAACTCTCAATCTGGAAGGCATTGAAAACTTTTTTTTTAAGAGCACAAGTCAGCAAGTGTGGGTGGCAGCAGAGCCCCCAGGGCTTACTGCCTGTCACCTGGGCTCTTTATCAAACTGCTCAGCCCCTCTTCTCAGCCTGAGGGCCTGCTTCAGAAACTGGCACTAACAGCACCAGAGTACAGAGCTGTTGTGAGGATGAGCACAGTGCCTAGCACACTGGAACATTATTATTATTCCAACGTCATCACTAGAGGGACACAGGGCTTAAACAGTGAGTAAAATAACACTAATTTATACTTAACCTAAAATACAATAGATTCTCCTCTTGTTCCCCAATGTGTCAAAATCTTTGTTTTCTACATTCAGCAACCAGGGAAGGGCTGACAGAGCGATTTCTTCTATGCTTGCACACTGCTTGTCTCCCAGTGTCCACTGTAATTCACTTTCCCCCAGAACTCTCTGCCAGCTTGGTAACTACTGTCATTTTTAAGGTGGTGGGAGAGGGAAAGGAATAGGCAAATTCCTTAGGACCACAGTTAGAACACAAAATGCAATCCCCTGACTCCTCCCACCCTACCAATTAAAGTCCTTTGTGAGAAACCTAGACTTTATTTAAATAGTGGGACACTTTCAGGGACTTAATGGTTACAGAGGCTTGCTGAGCTGTCAGCACACCTAGCCACCACTTATAACATTTCTTGCTTCTAAGAAAAACCAACGAAGAAGTCCATATGCAGTTATGCAACTCAGCTGCCTGCCTGAGTTCTCAGAAGGAGCCTCTCAGAAATCTGTGGGATGATTTTTGTTGGCTGCAAGGGGGAAGAAAGAACTAAGGGAATCGTAGGGCAGGGCTCTGGCAGATGCTGTGCAGTGCTCAAAACTGTTCTTCCCAGGGAGAGCTATCCATATTATCCACAGTAGTGCTAAGTGCCTGCCAAACACCAGTGTTTGCTAAAAACCTACTTGTTGTTATCCTGACTCCATTTTACATGTGAATCTTAAGCATGGCTGCTGTGTTCACTGAAGCTGTATACAACTGTGCAAACTGAGGGCAGAAAGTGCTTTGGGAAATAATCACAATGCCCTTGTTGGGTATCTCGTTACAACACATATCTTTTTTGTTTGTTTTGAGACAAGGTCTTACTATGTAGCCCAGATTGGCCTTGTGGTGATCCTCCTACCTCAGCCTTCCAAATGCTGGGATTACAGGCATGTGACACTGCACCCGGAATCAACACATACATACCTTCATCAGTTTGCATCTGTAACTGCCCTATTCATGGTCATTCTACATAAAAGTAAAAGGACCTGCTTTGTCCAAGCATTTACACACTAATACATATAAGATTTAGCTATGAATTATTTCTTTTCTTTTCTTTTTTTTTTGGTACCAGGGATTGAACTCAGGACCTTGCACTTGCAAAGCAAGTGGCAGAACCACTAAGCTAAATCCCTGGCCCTATGAATTATTTTCTTTTCTCATCTCTTTCTCTCTCTTTTTTTTTTTTTTTTTTTTTTTTTTT